ATAACTAAGGCTCTTAAAAATTTATAAGTTTATCAAGTATAGGTGATTAGACTATTAGTTTATCATCCCTATTTTTTGGTGATTTTAACTTTTGGAACTCAATGGTTTATGGTATGAAATAATGCTTTATATTTAATAAATGTAATTGCTTATATTGAATTAAAAACTACAAATAGATAAATTATTTTTTCATTTGAAAAAGTTTTAAAATATATTTATATTGTTTATATAAATTATAATTTAGGATCGTAGATACTGAATGAAATGACCACATGGTGTTTAAATAGTTTTTATATTAATTAGAAAATTTTTAATATAAAATTATACAGTTTGCTATAATTATTAATATACTTTATCAGTAAAAATTATTTTATTAATCTCTGAAAATATGATAAAGTAAATGCAAGTTTTAAAAATTACAATTAAAACTGACTAAAATACAATATAACCATATTGCGATAATAAATCATTTAAAAATTGACAATATCCTAAATATATTGCTAATTAATTAATTATAAATTACAACTAGGAATTTCAAAAATTTTAGTATAATCAAAAATTAAACTCGTAACTTATTTAATAATTATTAAAATTAAATAGTTATGTATATAGGTGATAAAATTATAAATATAATATCTATTACTAAAATAAATTTCAAAATCAACTCATACCTGATAAGCGAATACATAAAAATATATTCTGGCATCACGTGTAGTACCCGGTCCGCCAGCACCGCCCATACCCTCACTACCGGCCCCTCCCGGCGCCGATACATACGGTTGGGAGGACTGTATGAGCGGGTGGTCGGGTGACCGTAAGGGTGTGCTCGTTGTTTGCGATGAGATCCACTTGGAGTGCAAATCACCGCTTTCTATGAGGGACGACACCCTCAAGGCGTCGCCTAATATGTCTACCGTCGAGTCGAGTAGGTTTATGGGGTGTTCCACCGGTCGGTTCCAATCCGTGTACTCATTCATTAGAGTCAAGAATATTGACTAAAAAATTGTTTTAAAAAATTTTAAAATTTAAAATTGTATTTAACCTCAAATTCTAACAACCTAAATTATAAATAGAGCATTTTCCACACATGCTACCTTAATTACTAGTAAGGCAATTGATTAGATAATCACTTTTAGGACATACAACATGTCCATACACACAACTAGGTTATTTTGTATTAGCTATATGTTCCAATCCATTTAAACATTGATTACTTAAACTATAATTTTATCATGGTAAAACATAGGTCGACAAATGACACTTCATATTAATATAAAAATTACACCTACACTTTTAAAACTTAACATAATTCTGTACGTACTAAGTGAATGGCCCCAACAATTATTAAATGTACCTGTTGTTGAAAATCAAACAAATTCCTAACGAGTGTCCGCAAAATACGGTCCCTTTTCGGGGGGTCTAAACCGTGGCGCTCCTCGTGGGCGCTGAACACGTAGGGCGCCTCCACTCGGGTCACGCCAAACAGGAGGTCGTAGTTATTGATGTAGTGGACAGACTGCGAGTTGTACACCGGGGGCGGGGCGGCAGGAGGGGTGACGTTGTGGTGGAAGTAGTAGTTGAAGTCCGAGAGACCCGACTCCAGGATCTGTTTGGGCTCCGAAGGCACGAGTATTCCGTCGATTATGGGCCCGAATACTGTCAGGTATTGGGGCGCCTGTAGGTCGACGCCCAGTATGTCCTCCACGGGCTTATGGCGCACGCACTCCACCATTAATATGTTGTCCTAGGTGATGTAATTTTATTGTTATTAGATTTATTTATTGGTTTGGTATTTAGCATGCTAGTTTAATATACGTATGTGGGACAGTTGAGCTCCTTGGCCAATTGAATGGAGTAGGTCTCGGCATTTCTGGCTATAGCCCAGGGACTTAATGCCGACCCACTCATGAGCACAACCCTGGTGAATAGCCCTGTTCATATAAAACATTAATTATAATTGCAACTAATTTCGAGATTTTATTTTATTATTTATGAGCCTGACATAAATTTATGATTAGCTATAGGTAAATCTATTTGTATACTACCGTAGTATAATATGTGCTAAAGTTTGTATAAATTATTAAAATATTTATTATAATATGCAATAACTGTCTAGTTACTAAAATAGCACAAATATTAAATTGAAAAATTAAATATTTATCATAAAACAAATGATACAATAAATGTATACAACTATTTGAAATATTAATGCATTCCATTACATTGATACATTACAAATTATCCTAGTATACAGGTATATAAATAACAAATTATATGAATATTCAAAAAATTTTGAATATAAAATTATAAATATAAACATGCAATATAGACTTGTATAAATTAAAATTCATTGATTAAAGATAATTTATTCAAATAGGATTTTAAAAATTAACATTTATTTACATACCCCTGGCCATTGGTGATAGCATGAGTAGGTGGGCGCAGGCTGCCCCGTAACCATGGCCAATTATAGTCACATTATTGGTATCACCAAAAAACTCTTGTATATTCTCTTGGATC